TCCTACAACTTCGGTCGTTGTTCGGGGTACAGTTAAGATTTTAACGAAGTTCGAGCGAAAACATAATTAGCAAAAAAAGTCGAAATAAAGTGATTAAACAAAAATGATTACAAATATCGTAAATAACAGTTCACAAATGCATATATAGAGACATATATATTTTTGAAGGGGGGAAATGGTCTTCACAATTTGAAATCGATCAAACACACTATGCGCGAATGCTCGTGTAAACGCGCGCCATCTATCGTAGGATAAATGTACTTCGCGGGAGTGTATTAAAAAACTTCCCGAAGTTTCATGGCAATCGTACTATGCCACAAACCTTCGCCGGAGTATATTAAACAACTTCCCAAAGTTTCATGGCAATCGGATAAACGGTGTGGTAATGCATGAAGGACATAGGACACACAGACACACAGACAGACATACATTCATTTTTATATATATAGATAAAAACACGTGCATATTCGAATGCAGCATTGTGTCAAAATTTCAAAGGAATCAGTAGGAACAAATGAACATTACATTTTTATTTATATAGATAGATAGAAGATGATCTGCTTTAGTTCATCCTCACAGAAAAGCATAATGCCTCACAGAAAAGCAAACTTAGGTTGTCGTACTCGTAGTGCCATTTGTTGGACATTAAAGCCTCAATCCTAGATGATATCTTTTAATTTATATGAAATGTTTAATGGAATAATATACAGCCTATGTCCACCCTGAAGTTCCATTCTAAATATTGGTGAAAGAATTTTTGAAATCGGATGAGTAGTTTTGGAGATTACCCCTACATACAAACTTACAAACATTAGCTCTTTATAATATTAGTATAGATAAACAACATCATTCTAAATCTGCCACAGAAAGATTAACCCTTCCATGTAAGGATGGCGGATGTGGCCTGATTGACATAGTTAACCTTCACTACAAATAAATACAGTCACTGCGGGTTTTTCTACAAAAAACAAGAAACATCACAGTTACATAAAGCAGTAACTGTAGCAGACTCAAATAACACACCATTAAATTTACACTCACAACATATGGACAAGACATGACATATAAAAAGCATAGCTGTCATTAAGCAGTCATGGGCTGGAAAGTCGCTCCATGGCAGGTATCCCTACGACCTGGCCCAGGATTTTGTTGACAAAACTGTGTCAAGCAGTTGGTTAGCTCAGGGATGCCTCTTTGGGGAGATGGATGGCTTCATGATTGCCATACAAGATCAGGTCGTAAATACTAAAAACCACAGAAAATACAGTGTGTCCAGAAAGGGTGAGTGCAGTTTAAAAGTAAAATAAATTAAAAATAAAAAATGTTCAATGAAAGTTTGTTTTTATTTTCAATATACAGTTATTGGAAAATTATTTACTAAAAATTATGTTATCTAAATGGCATCCATTACGCTCCTGGCACTCTTCTAATCTTGAGCAAAGATTTCTCAGTACACGTTGACACAAAGCCTGAGATAATGATGCCATTCCTGCTGTAATATTCTGCTTTAATTGAGTTAATGTCCTCGGCTTATTTTCATACACCCTCTCTTTAAGAAATCCCCATAAGAAATAGTCCAGAGGACTCAGGTCTGGACTGCATGGTGGCTAGTTAACATCACCCCTTCACGAAATTAGCTTATTGGGGAATAACGCCTTTACGGCTTCAATACAAGAACATGGTTTCAACAAGATGGCGCCGCTTGTCACACATCAAATGAATCAGTTGAAGCCGTAAAGGAGTTATTCCCCAATAAGCTAATTTTGTGAAGAGGTGATGTTAACTGGCCACCACGCAGTCCAGACCTGAGTCCTCTGGACTATTTCTTATATCCTGCAGATGACCTAGCACTATTTAATTTGATCTTTTAAGGGATGTCAGTTCCTTTTGGTTTGATATTTTATTGCTAGTCTGTATAGATGACATTGCTAATTTGTAAGTGTAAAAGAAATACTAACTAAAATCTGCTTTTAAAAAAAATTATTTCATTTACAATACATATATGAATGGTAAATGTATTTATTTTATATTATTAAGTGTATGTGTTAAAATAACTTGTGTATACTATTTCATAGTTTTTCCACATGCAGTCTAATAGTTGACATCATAAATTTCATTAGATGATAATTAAAATAAAAGCACTAGAAATCATTTAATTGCATTTTCACCTATTTTTCAAAATTTTTATTTATTTTTCTGTGAATAAAAAATTTTTGTTTCACAAATAACAATTTATTGTAAAATATATGAAATGCACAAGTAAATACATCACTACCTTGTTCATTTCTGTATAATATATACAGAAATGAACATGATAAGGAATGATGAATGAATGATACATGAATGCTATATATTAATTAATAATAAATTTAATGACTAGCTAAACAAATTTTTAGCAAAAATTCATTTTATAGCATTTTAAATTTACATTATCACAATAGAATAACATAGTAATAAGAAATTAAAACTTAAACAACTTAATTTAGTTTTATTAATTATATGGAGAATAAATCAAACTGAAAAATAATTTTGCAGAACAAAGTAGAAGAGATGATTTAGAAGCTTTAGGTCATATGTTTATGTACTTTTTGAGAGGAAGTTTACCTTGGCAAGGTCTTAAAGCTGAAACATTAAAAGAAAGATACCAAAAAATTGGAGATACCAAACGTGCTACTCCCATTGAAGTCTTATGTGAGGGATATCCTGGTACATATTTTTTGTCTTTATTTTGATGATATTAATTTTAATTTACATTTAAATAAATTATGTAGGAAAAATTTATACATTTATATTTTAGCATTGTTAAATATAAAATATTAAAAATTGAAATTAATAGCTGAGCTATATTCAGTTGTTTTTTAGAAAATTTGTATATGCAATGTGTTATCCATAATATCAGTATATTAAAAGCTGAATATGAAATTGTAATAAATATAAAAATTCTGAGAAAATGCTGAATTTATTTCAGTTCAGATCTAAATTATCTAATCAATGAAATTATTTAAATATAATTTTGTTGATTTCCCTCTTTCTTTTTAGGTAATTTCATTAATAAAAATTAATTTAAGTGAGCAACATTAAAGACTGAATACTTATATAAAACATTTTAATTACCAAAAATCTGATTTAGTAATTTTAGAATGATCCTCACATGAATTTGCATTTTCTTCTGATTTTCATTTTATATTGGTATCATAGTAATATGATAAATGATAAAGTTTCTCATTAATGATATATTGGAAACAGTATTATTTTTTTAATTTTTTGATTGTATTAAAACAAGTTTATATTTGTTTTATATGTCTAGGAAGTGTTGTGTGTGTCAAATTTTCGATTGATTGATTGATTGATTGATACACATTATAAAGTACTGAACTCATTATATAAACTTCTTAACATATAGTTGAACTTTTAATTTCAATTTTGAAACAATAATTTGTTTCACAGATTACAGAAATCATTAATTTATATATATTTATCACATTAATTTTTTGTAATGTTACAACAAAATATGTTGGAAGATATTTGATTTGATTAATTCAGGTTTTTTAAAATTTTGTTTAATGAATATATTGTATGTTGCTGTAACTGAAAATTTTAAATTAGCATTTATATAACAAAAATTATTGGAAAAGTTAATTAACTATTAATTTGATCAATAGGTATTTTTTAAATAGTTTAGATTCATGCAATCTTGTTTCAAAAATTGATAATATCAATTTTATAAAATTGTTGGCAATTATTGACAAAACTAATCTTGATTTAACAGAGTATTAAGGTGTCAGCCTACCAGTCTGGGGACCCAGGAATTAATCAGACTGGGTCAAAAAAAAATCTCAGGAATTTTTTGAGAGGTTGTATGACCTGGATATGTTGGATTCCATCCCTCACCATCCAGCTACCCATTGTAGGTCTGACCCTGGCTAAACTCATAACGGGTATAATTAAAAGAGCCTCTTGAATGCAAGGCAAAGTCGAAAATGAAAGAATAAATTTTTTTTTATCTTTTATAATTGAATTAAAATTTATTTGGTGAATCTTTCAAATTGCATGAGGAATAAAATTGTTCATCTAACTAGTATTTAAAAATTATTATGATTGATTCTTTTAATTATATTAGTTACTTGATCTGTATTTAATACATTACAACATGAAAAAAGTGTTTGGCATTAATTAATTCATTTTTTTTATGATAGCTGTTAATTTATTGATTCATCCATGATGTTTTTTAATGTTAAAAGGAAGAGACAGATAATGGTAGCAAGTGAATGTAGACACAATCCCATATAATAGTTGAGCATTACAGATGGCTTTCTAAAATAATATATAGGGTGTTCCAATAGTAGTGCAGGATTTAATTGTGGAATAAAGTGCATCATTTATTGAACAACTATAGATATATTTATTTCAGTGTAAAATAACATTACAACCTATTTCAGTGCTAAGTCATTTTTACATGTGGAGGACAGTGTCTGTCAAATGTTTGCCACAATTCTGTAGGCATACATGCACTATTTTCACAAAATGTTGGCCCTTGCTGTTTTATTAAAGTGGAGACAAGCCTTTTCAGTCTGCTCTTGTAAATTATAACGGTTCTTTTAGAGAATAATAATAATCTTTTTCTAGTAGACTCTACATAAAATAGTGATGAAAACTGTCTAGTTTCTGATTTTCTTTACTACTATTCTTTATTCTATGTGATTTATGTGGACTCTAGTCAAGAATCACAAACTACCACAAAACAGATAGTTTTATATAAAAATGAAGATGTAATCAAATATAAACTTTTTATTATAGAAAAGTCTTTAGTGAAGCATTTATATTTTATAATACTATTTTAAACCGATGCAGTTTGTCCATTTGATTGTTCTGAGACAGTCTAGAACAGTGTTTCCCAAACTTTTCAGACTACTTTTAGTGCATGTATTTCTTATATACAGTATATATTTATTTCTTTCAAAATTAAATTTTTGTTCCTCTTGTCTTTCAACACCCCTATTGCCCCTTGGCTTCCAGTGTCCCCTTTTGTCTTATACTACCTTCAAGGAGGCAGTAGCATCTACTTTGGGAATCACTGGTCTAGAATTATAACGAAAGTTAATTACCAACACAGTTTTTTTTAGGAAAATCATGTTTTATAATATGTATTTTTCTTTTTTCACTTTATGTAATTATTTGTTCAAAAAATTTGATTGTAATTTAATTTTTGTAAAAATTTCTTTTCACTTTTCTTTTTTTACATACATTTATATTTATTGAATGAACAAAAACTACTGTTTTAAAGATTGTAGAAAACTATTTATTTGAAATATTTTCAGTCTAAATTTAGTCCATCTTCAGCAAATAACTTAACAAAAATGGAGTAGAACATTTTAAATGACTTACAGAATTGAATACTAAANGATATATTTACTGCCTCCTTTTAAATAATTTTAAAGTTACTCATTAAATTTATTTAATTTATATCAAATTTTTAAAAACTGACATCGAAATTTACTATGAATTAAATCTATTAAATATAATGCATTATGCATAAGTGTCCCATTGTACTGTACAATACAATTGATAACTTGTATTTGCATCATTGTAAAATTCAAAAAGAAAAATTCCCATGCAAATTCCTTGGCTCATAGAAATGTTTGTTTTTTGTCATTTTGGAGCAGTTTGGTATGGTCTTGGTTTTGTGTAGCCAAAATATCATACTTTTGTTTTCCAGATTTTGTGTGTTCTTTTTAGTGTACAGAATTGATATTATTAGGGGCTTTAAAAAATGTTTGGCACCTCCCTATAACTCCAGAAAAGTAACAGTTTGAAATGCAAATATCGTGTGTGTGTGTGTGTGTGTGTGTGAAGGTAGGCTACAGAGGCACTAGTTGCCAACAGATGATATTGTTGCATTGCAAAGGAAGAAAGGTACTGAGTCATTTGTGCAGGTGAGTTTGTGGATGAGGAAAAAGAAAATGGAAACAGATAATCATGGGCAGTGATGGATGGTGTGGTTTCTGTGGAGGAAAGGAGTGGCTGCATCAGAGATGCACATGAGGTTAGCAGCTGTGAGTGTGTTGGAATAGTGCAACAAAGTCGCAGAAGTATGTTTTGCTGGATATCTGACTTCAAAATCAGCAAGGACTGTGCTGAGAAAGGCAAAAGCATTGGATGGATGGCAAGTGCATGGAAACCAGACAACATCCATTGCATGTCTGATTTGATGATTTAGGACAGGAATCACATTTTGATGAACTGGAGGATGCAGTGTGTCTGTCACTCAGAACTCTGCATACTGTCATCTATCAAGATTTTAAGATGAAATAGATCTGCACACAATGGGTTCCTCATTCTCAAACTACTCAGCAGAAACAGCAGCATATGGAGACATGCCAACAACTTATACTGAATCTGTACAGCACATATCTAATGGCGTTCTTTGAGCATCTGGTCACAGGCAATGAATGAGTCATGGCTCCGGCATAAGACACTCAAAAAGAAATGCCAATCCATGGAGTGGAAGCACACTGGGAACCCTTGACCTAAGAAGCCACAGCCAGAAATGTTTGTCAAGAAGCAAATGATGACTGTATTCTAGGATCAGGAGGTGATCCTGCTTTTGGCTTGGCTATCCACTGGTGAGAGCATCAATAGTGACTAGTAATGCAGGACACTGCAGCAATTCTGTTGACTCATTTAGCAACACTATCTCAGGAAATGGGGATGTGACATGATTCTCTTACACAACAATGAGCAGCTTCCTATTGGTTGCCACACTGTTGCCATCCTGCAGGCTTTAAGATACACCATGCTGCAGCATCCACCATATTCATTGCATATTTATAAGTCTGCAATTTTAAAAAAATTGTAGACCTATAAAGTCCATCTGTTCTTCTGTCTATCTTTCCTTAATCTCAAGAATGGTGATAGATAAATGAAATTCAAAACCAGTTATGGAAAGCTTAGGGGCAGGAGGCATCAATTAACTATATATGAACTTCTGATGCAAACTGAATGTTACATTATAGGTCACATATTGGGTATCTGGAGTTAATGGAGATCTATGGGGCTGCTCAAAAGTCAAAAGTTATCAACTATAAAGAGGATAGTGCAATCCTGAACCTGTGGAAAATATATGCAAGTTCAGCAGAAGCATATTCCATGTAGGTTGCTATGTACAAACATTCCACCAATCAGCATATCAACTGCTATCCTCCAATCATCAATGACTATATAAAGTTAAAATATGTTCCAAACACATGCAATTTCAAATTTTAGAACACTAGCCTGAAGATGTTGTTTTAAAACAGATGAAAACATTTGCTTCTCAAAGTGAGTAGTTCTTTTCTATTTCTATTGCTGGTTCTTTTGCTTTGTGAATCGGTGTATCTCAGATTTACATCACTTCACCAGAAACTAGTTAAACACCTAACACACATCACCATCAATCCATTATGCCAAAATTTTTTACTCAGGCATCACCTATATAAAATCTAAAAATAATAACACCACAGACACCACACAATACAGACCAATTACATGTCTTTCAACACTCTACAAATTATTGACATCCTGTATCGCAAAGAAAATATACAAATATGTTGAACACAACATTCTTACAGAACAACAAAACGGTTGTCGTAGAAATCACATGGGATGCAAAGAACAGTTACTTATAGATTCAGTCATTCTACGGCAAGCATACAAACAACACAGATGGC